GTTGGTGTTATAATCATAAAAAATAATCTTTCAAGCTTGTTTTATGATTTATATAACTCCACAACAACTGTTGTGGACGTTTTATTTAACTTCTTCATTTATAAGGAACTAAAGAAAGTTAATCGAGTTCAAATGGGTGCCGTGATTTAAAATAAGTTTTAACCTTTAATAGATGTCTTGTAGCTTTCCTTCTGTTTCTCCCAAAAGTTAATATAAAGACGTCTTTCGCTTAAGCTAAAAGCACTCCTTTTGAATTCTTTAAGCCATCCTTGTTTCTTCAGATTCCTTTAAAGTTCCCTGCAGATCGGCTTTTAGAGATCTTAAAAGATGTCTTTTATCTTTAGAATATCTTTTCGTGTACTAAAGGTTTACTTATTGTACTGTGATAGTCTAGTGGTGGAAAATTTTTCTTAGGAATAGTGCTAAAAATTATCAAATTCAAACAGTAACTGCCCAAGTAACTAAGGAAATTCGTTTAGATGTTCTATAATATTGAAAATAAGGTCAAAAACAGTACATTCATTTGATTTACTTACAAACAATACATGTCATATATAATATAATACTTATTTTGTAGAGCTTTTTCTTATTCATATTTTAAGCTGTACAAGATCAGTTCATTGTCATGTTGTGACAATTCAATGTCAAAAAATACTCCCACTATTTCTTTATAAAATTTGTCAAAAAATTAGTTAAGCTAATACGTTATAAAGTAAGAATACATATTGAGGAATAGAAAAGGAGATCTCACTAGATATTAGAAATGAAATTCCTCATATTTAGGATTTAATTTTCTCATGATTATTATACGGAAAGTCTTCATTATTAAATTCACCTCACGCATTTTTATGTATCTAAACCATGCGTTAGTCATTATTGAAAATAAGAATAGTACCTATCATGAAATCTTCAAAATGCACGTCCATCTGGTTAACTCATGACGTACATATAATACAGTATGAATGAAATACTAGCTTTCTTTATTCACAAATTGTGATAATAGTATATCTTTTAGTATCAAATTTGTGTCAGAGTGTTGACAACCAATACATGACTTGAAAAACTGAACAACGTTAGATAAATTATCAATATTACTATATAATGTAAGTATAAAAGTATAACGCCATATTAATGGTTCAATATCAGTAGAATTATGAAGCAATACTAACAATAGATTCTTGACTGCATTCCAATCTTTTTGATTGATGTGTAATCTAATTTCAGATAGGATATTGTGCTTTAAAACAACTTTAGGTTCCTGTATCTCACTTCTTTTGTAACAGCATGCTATCTTACAATGAGTTTCAACATCTAATTTTTCTTCTTTCTTCATTTTAACTTCTTTCTTCAAACCGTCTCTTTTGCTTATCCACAGATCGTCTATAGCTTGATTCTGGAAGAAAATTTACTATATAGAATATGAAATAATGTAAACATTTAGTACACTATTTTGTTGTTACGTACGACTATTTTCCTTTTAATCTTAAGCATTTTTATATTTCAATTAAAATATAGTAGAATAAAATCAATTTACTAAAATATTTGTGTTATTGATATAAAAACTGAAATACATATGTACATGACCTCTTGTATTGATACAGCACGTGGTCGACAGCAAAGAGAGTTAGATACTGTGAGCAAAAGCATTTAGTGAAATTACTACAACGAGCGACGGAAATAAACAGATCACTAAAGAGCGTGACGCGTGACACTTTTACCAACTTTTACTATGTTCACAGCCTACTTTAATACCTAGCCATGTGGAGAATGAAATGGCAACACCGCGGGAGTCCGGTTTTCGTGTATGTACAACCACATCCTCCATCGCCTTAAGCATTTGCTTAAGTCCTTGTTTCCTGTACAAGAGAGGGACTGGAAATATTGAATAGACAGGGACAACAAATACTTAAGACGATCTTAAGAATAAGCAACGACTCTGAATACCGGCCATAGACATATAATAGACCGCGCAAGCAATTCGAAAAAGTGATCGGAGCAAAAGGGAGAACGAGAATGATACGGGCCCTTTTTGTGTCCTTGTCTAAACGTGTTTGCTCCGCCTACCTTTCGGCTATACATAGTATACATTGTACGGATTGTACCTTGCTCTTCAACGTCCAAACTGAATCGAATTCTATCGTAGTCGCAATCAATCCATCTAGAAAATGTGAAAGATGTATTAAAAACATAATTTTAAAGTAGTTATAAGTAAAATATTATTTGCATACAATTTTAAACTATACAGAATTATGAAGTACAAGAAGATATGCACATAAATAACCTAGACTAATGGATGCCGTCACATGGACCTATAGAAATAGAAAGTACTTTCTGAAATCACAATGGTGCCTTTATTTCTCTATTAGCGAATATATGACTTTACAGTACAAGTTAAAACTTACCCAACTAGGCGGCATTTTTGCACAAAAGTGTGATTCTGCGACGGACATGTAATTTTACCAGGCTGAACAGAGGTCGTTAGTGACGTCTATCGGTTCCGATGCCTACTTATTTTCATTTTATTTGGTTGAGTTTTCGCTCTTTTCTGTACTGTACTTCATGATGTCCTGCCATAGACAGATAAGAACAAATTGTTTTGGTGGTGGTCGAGTCTGTAAATGGAAGCGATAGAAGAAAAAACGAGAAAGACAATCTTATGGGCCCCTCTGTATCCTTGTTTAATCGCCTACTTTGCTCCGCCTACCTTTCTGTGAATGCTCATGAATCTACACAGAAAGGTAGGCGGAGCAAACACAGTTAGACAAGAACACAGAGGTGTCCTATAAGACTGTTTCTCTTCTTTTTTTCTATTGCTTCTTCGGTCTGCTAGCGTAGTTTATTCTTATGTGTCCTGCCAGAAAAAAACTAAAAGTGCTCAAGTCCGGGTTTTCGCTTCCACCCATACTAGTGCTGCACCTTGCGGCCAAGTCAGGAAGGGGGTCCACCGTAGCATATACCAGAATCGTTTTAGCAGAGATCTACCCTATTCAGTTCCACCGTAGCATAGACAAGAATCCAGTTGTCGTCCACCATAGCACAGGTCATCATGTCCTTCAGTGACTTGCTCTAAACATCACTGCTGCCCATGTGTTTTATCTTCAAGTACTGGGGTTCGGCACATTGACCCAGTGACGTTATTTTATGAGCAGGTGAACTTAAAGACGAACGATTAAGTTCAACTCTAATTCTCTTCCCATTTTTTATAATTGTAGCTACTCTGTAATTTATAAAGATGTTAGTTATTTCAGTGAGTATGTTACATTTATTTAGCGAACGTAACTAACGACTAATTGCTTTGTTTTCTGTAATATTTAAACAATTTCTTAGTTGCTGTTGCATGTAACTTTTGTTTTAATCCTACGTTCTCGTTACGAGCGTGACACTCAGCCGCGGCAACGCACGAGACGGTTATCGCGCTCCTGTCCGCCTTGTATACGAGCGCTCTGATTGGTCGGGGATTTTTGTTGATAACTCGATAACTATGCCTCGGACAACATTTTGACATAGGAAAATATTGTTCAAAATTATCTCAGTAATCTCCTATTAAAAAATGTACCACTAGTTCTGGGACATCCTGTACATGGTCTAGTTTCCCTCTCTCTCTCTCTCTCTTGCAGTCCTAGAATTCGTTCAATTAACAAAGTTCTATTCGTTTGTCCTAATTTTTATGCAAGTTTGATACAAGACGCAATTGAACATCCGGCAGAAGGGCTGGTGGTTGAACAAAAGGATGACGAACGTGCCGTCTCAGTGGAACGTGGAACTGATGGTTTTAGCTCCGTTTCAAGCATTGTTATTCAGTCTACGTTCGCGCCTATGTAAATGTTGGTTAACCCCAGGCAGGATGGGTGGCAAGGTCCCTAGGCTCGTCCTACATCCTCACCATTACGGGATGGTATAATCCTCCCGTCCTCGAATAGGTTCATCCTCATCCTCGCCACGTTTAAGGTGGCAGCTTGCAAAGCTACGGAAACTCGCTTCGCTAGAGAATCGATTTCAGAAGTAAAATCACTTGCACGACCAGTCGCGGATTCCTACTTTCTGATTTTCACTTAACATTCTTCATGACTGGTAATGCACATTTTATATTCCTATTTCGCGTAGTAAGAATTTCAAAAAGAAGCGCGATTATTGAAGCGCTTCGAGTAGTGTCAACCAATTTTTTAAACGGGACGTAAACCTTCCTGACAAAGAAACCGTCAATGAAATATCTTGCCGCGTTTCTGTGTATTTTCGCGTTAAGGCTCCACGAGTCACGGTTTCCAGCTGCAGTCGGTGTGATTAGCGGGCGTACGAGTACGCGCGTGAAACGACGTCGACGATAACGACTATGACGACGGCGCAACCCCAACGTTAATTGGCACTTGCAATCAAAGCAGCACTCGAAATACCTGCCGGTATTCATGTGGCTCCTTCACAAACTTTGAAATGAAATTTTCCTCAAAATTTCTCCTCGCGCGAATACGATGGAAACTGCGAAACGACTGCTTTGATTTTCTCTTCTGAAGTCATTAACAATATCTCTTTCACGAACTATCGATCAATGATAAATCAAGGCTAGGTACATAATTGTATGGTTGATTATGCTAAGGACAAAGACTAATTTCGGTTAGAGTGGAAGTATAGCACGATAGATAGCGGATAAATCATAGATAGATCCAGCTGAACATTAATGAATCGGCGTTTCTCGTCTCCTTACCTCATTCGTTTTTTTTCTGTCTAATTCAGGCACCATGTCCATTGCAGATTCACGTTGCAATGTACACGAGGGACGAAGCTCGTGCAGTTGCGAGCGAGTAGATTCCATCCTTTGAGGAGAGTTAATTTAAGTGAAAACTCCATTTTCAGTGTCTCTCCCGGTGGAGGATGCCCCACGGGTCCGTACGCTGCATGCTGAGAAAAAAGAAATCTCTGACTGAGTTTTATACCTCTTTGCCGTGCGTATAACTACGTCAGGCTATCATGGATAGTAGGAGCTCTCAGAATTTTTAGACACTTCCAAATGGATTTTGCGAGTTTCCGAGTATTTTCTATTCGGATAAGTTGTTCGGCAGCCGAGATTAATTTCATATAATTGCTCAGAACTCTATACCTGTAGCATGATAGTAAATGGACTGTTGACATAGCTGACTCGAGAAGAAATGTAATTTTTAAATCATCAATACGTTTACGCGCTTCGTTATAATAATCCATTAGATACTTCACTATTATTTTTTAAAAGAAAATTATTTGATTGCCTTTCTATAATATGTACAAGTAATATCTCGATGTTAATATGGTACATACTCAGTTTTTAATCAAGTTGAGTAAAAGAGCTTATTCTCTTTGTTTTCCACATTATGTTTAAGAACAAAATGTAAAAGTGGTAATTCACATCAGATTACGGTCACGTTTTCACATGCAGAAACAAAGAAATTAATTAAATTAGTTTTTTACATGCATAATGGAAATTCCATAATGAATTGGAAATAGTCCGAAGTATATGTTGAAACATACATATCATATATGTATGCACAAGATCAATGATTAAAATGAATTTTGTGTTCATATCGCTTTGGTCAATTTTTCTGTCGATTTTGGATATTGTATGCATAAACTGAGTGATTATTTTGACGGTTAAATGAAAAACTAACATTGATTTAATTTATTGATATCATGCTCCATTAGCCCCTCCCCCCACAATGCGGTGTACATATATTTACTTACAATTAGTCAACATGCACATACTATCATTTATTATCGTCCTCAATGAGTTAGCTAATTTTTCGAATACAATCTTTTCAGTAAATTATCTCACCTGCTTAACTTTGAATGTATGCATTCTGTCTTAAATCAGTTGATCAGTTTGTAATCGCTTCATAACGTTCCCTAATCGCTAGGACATGGCGCGATAACAGTCGATCGACCGTTAGAATACGCAGTATTTCCACCCTTTCTATCGATTGAATTCCACATCATATCAGATTTCACCACCCGGAATGATAGGACTGGATAGCAAATTGCAGGCTTTTGTTTTGAATTGAAAACTTGTTCTGAATATTGTTTATTTGGTGCAATGATTTTCAAGGAGAAGAGACTTTATTCTACGCCGGTATTTGCGACTACTTCCAGACTCGTTACTAGGGACTGTTTTCTATTGGTAGTTCGAGAAACAAATCTACTGCAAAAACGATAGCAAACGGTCATATATCATACAGGTAAGGAGTAATGAGTTTCGAGTTTTTAGGGTGGAACGCGTCGTATAATTTCTCAAGTATTGTTCGCGTCTCACGTCGATTTATCCAGCTGACAATGAGAAGGTAAGGTAGCGAATCGCAGTGGTACAGCGAAGAACGTTAGTTGTCGAGCAGGGGTGAAAATACACGTGCCAGTTTTTAGCTTGGTTGCCGTATATCATAAGTGCAAGTGAAACGTTCGGGGTGAGAGAGGGTCACTGATTGGACCATCTATCTTATAGATACGGCTTATCCCAGCACGCGCAAGCACTTCCGCGGACACTTACAATCAAAACTATCTAACCTGCTTAAACGATATATTTTTATTCATAAGCACACGTGATAGACATTGAAGAACGAAGATAGATGTCACGTATTCGAATTTCACATGTCGTTTTCACGTAGTGTTCTTCAAAATTTGTTAAGACGATTCGGAAAATCGATTCGATTACGTACAATGTACGATGTTAGAAAACTTTCCTCCTCGAGTCCGTAATATAGTTTCAAACAAGAGTTAGGGAAAAAAGGCTCTAGGTACGGTTAATATCTCCGTTTGTGAAATGCTTGTTTGGCTGCGGACATTTTCTCGCGCATGTCACGCGGGTAGAGAAGTTTCCCTAATTGAAGCAGCAGAAATGGGACGAATAAAATTTGAAGCTTCTCGTTCATTCAGACAGACGACCTTTTCGGACTAGTTTTGACGAGGTTTGCCAAGGACGATTCGATCCGAACAAAAGTTTGTTCGTTGATGGGTTGAGGCGACGCGACGCGCTTCAACGTATTCTCCGTACTCGTACCCAATGTTTTATGTAAAATCTACGGGTGTCCGAAGACGAAAACGGCATCTCGTATGTACAGGCATATAATAGGCATACTGATTCAGGCATAATCAATTGTGATACTGATAAATCCAGTTTTTCGGAATCGTGGCGAATCAACGATGTTTGTAATTTTATCCTTGATGTTTGTTCTATCCTGATATAGAAAACGCTTTAAACCAAACCACCATCTCGTTCTCCCACAAATATACAATAGATATGTCCTAACATGTACTTCTTAAGACAATGTCATATGACTAGTAAAAGTCATCTAACTTGGATCAACTGTTACATTTTGTATAAGATAAAATAAGATATCCTAATATTTTTAGGCAGGGACGTATATGTATGTGTAGTTCGCATGATAAATATTTACACATAGATATCAGATAGTTGCAAAAAAGGGGACTAAAGTGGTAACAATCGCTTATTACCAGGATAAAGGTAAGAACGTACGTATACCTTTGAAATCCGCTTCCCACTTTTTCTGTCCCACCTTTTTTTATTCTTCTCAGACAACCTGTTCAGTTTAGCCACGACAAATTTTATTTATCGTTTCCGCAATATTTCCGTTTCTTGTACTGTTTAGCTTTCCTTTCTTTAAAAGCTACGTTCATTATTGCAAGGGACATCTGTTTTCTTATTTATACGTAAGAATTGTTGAAATTAACTATAGCAAAGATGCCCGCTAACGAATATCTTTTTCATTTCGTGAAAACGTTCATTGAATTTGT